GCAAGTTCAGACGCTTGGCGATTGATTCATACTTACGACCGTTACCGTGTCCTGGGGTGGGGGCTGGCGGGTGGGCGGGGCTTTGGCAACACTCGGCGTATAACCCACTTTTGGGGGTGGAAAAAGTGCATCTTACACTCTGGAAAATACGGTAAATCAAACTTATCAGTAATAAGCTGGCAATTAGCATTATCCCAAGCTCAAGAGACCTGCCAGATGTTGCTAGGGGACTTTCCTGCATCAAACAGCTGCTGTTGATGCTTCCAGCAAGAACAGCTGGAAGGCTGAGAACAAAGCTCGTGTTTTGCTCATGGTGCCACAATCCTTTTCAGAGGACGGATAGAATCGAGCTGGAAGGGACCTTGGAGATCTTCTAGTCCAGCCCTGTGCTCAAGCAGCAGACCCTACATCATTTCAGACAAGTAGTTGTCGAATCTCTGGTTAATTGTCCATGTTAGGAGATTTCTCCTTCATTCCAAGTTGCTTCTCTCCTTCATAAGTTTCCATCCCTTGTTTCTTGTCCTGCCTTCTAGTGTTTTGGAAAATAAGTCGACCCCCTCTTCTTTGTGACACCCCCGTTAAATATGGGAACCCCACTATCGTGTCACCCCAATCCTCCTTTCCTATAGACTAACCAAGCCCAAATCCTGCAACTGTTCTTCGTATGTTTTAGTATCCAGGCCTTTAATCATCCTAGTTGCTCTTTGCACTTTTTCCAAAGTCTCGACATCTTTTTTTTGTAACCTGGTAACCAAAACTGGATGCGGCGCTCCGGGTGTGGCCAAACTAAGGCTTTACAACGCGGTACTAATACTCCATCTGATTTTAATTCTATGCCTCTAGATAGGTAGATAAATTTATTGTCATTGTACTCAGAAACCTGAGAACAATGAAATAAGTGCTCTTCCACAACATACAACTGAACAACACCCAAAGACATATACAAATAACAATGTAAAACAAATTAAAACAAATAACAGTTAAAAATTGTACAACCAGGATATATATATATATGTTAAGACCACCAGATTCATAACTCTGCATTTAACCTGATCACAGCACTTGGGTAAAAGCTATGTTTAAATCTACTTGTCCTGGCTTTCAGCACTCTATATCATCTTCCTGATGGTAGGATCTCAATTCTATGCCTCTATTTATACAACCAAGAATTGCACTGGCTTTTTTGGCGGCTGCTGCACACGGCTGGCTTGTGCTTAAATGATCATCCAGTAGGACTCCTAGATCCTAGATTTTATATCTGTCACCCAGAGATCTTTTATTCAGAAGTGGCATTTCCTAGTTAAGGAAGAGGAAAAAAACCCAAAGGACACCTATAGACTGGGTGAAACCAGGCTCAACAGCAGTAACTGGGAGAGGGATCTTGGCGTCTTAGTGGACAACCAGCTAAATTGGAGTTTAGCAGTGTGCAGCAGCAGCCAAAAAAGCTAACGCGATCCTAAATTGCATTAACAGAGGGAAACAATCGAGATTAAGGGAGGTACTAATACCACTCTGTAAAGCCTTAGTAAGACCACACCTAGAGTACTGCATCCAGTTTTGGTCACCACACCATAAAAAAGATCTTGAGATGCTAGAAAGAGTGCAGAGAAGAGCAACCAGGATGATGAGGGGATTGGAGGCTAAAACATACAATGAATGGTTGCAGGAACTGGGCTTGTCTAGGGAAGAGAAGGACCAGGGGAGACATGATAGCAGTCTTCCAATATTTGAGGGGCTGCCCCAGAGAGGAGGGTGGGTCAAGTTATTTTCTAAAGCGCCTGTAGGCCAGACAAGGAATAATAATGGATGGAAACTGAACAAGGAGAGATTCAACCTGGAAATAAGGAGAAACTTTCTGACAGTGAGAACAATCAACCAATGGAACAGAAGTTGCCCTCGGAAGTTGTGGGAGCACCATCACTTGAGACTTTCAAGAAGAGAATGGACTCCCCTCTGTCAGAAATGGTGTAGGGTCTTCCGCTTGGGCGGGGGGTTGGACTAGATGACCTATAAGGTCCCTTCCAACTCCGATTACCTGTTTTCTGTTCGGAGGAGTCAGTCTTGGGAGAGAAAATCTGTAACGACCTTTGGATGCGCGATTGGTAGGTAGCACTGAAGTCCTACAAGGAAGGTACAGATGATCTGAATTCAAAATAGAGACAATTAGTTTAGTGACCAGTCAAAGTTGCAACGCAGCACTGAAAAAAAAAGTGACTTAGGACCGGTGTTTTTCACTTACGACCGTCGCAGCCTCCCCAGGGTCATGTGATCCAACTTCAGACACTTGACGGCTGACTCACATTTTTGACAGTTGTAGTGTCTTGAGTGTCAACTCATATTTCTCAGAGTTGCCAACAAAAAGGGAGGGAGGAGCAGTGCAGCAGTTTGCAAACCGAATGCGCATTCCGTAAATGTTTTCCAAGATAGTCACTAGCTGAAGTTTCTGCCGGGCAAAATTCTAACTGGAGAGCATGATTGATGACTCTGGGCTATGGATGTGTCCCACTGGAGAATATGAATTACGACACACCCAGCGGGTGGAGGGAAAACCGGGGTCAAGGGTGACAATGAATGATGTGCCTCAGAGTTGGCTACACCCAGGAAGCGCCGGCATGTTTACTTCTAATAAATGTTTTAAGTTTTGGAAATTCAGCTAGAGATTTATGGTTGAAATGGGGGTAACTGCCAGAGCCCTGACAGCTAGCCGACACCGGAGTTGTGTGGTCCCCTTTAGCGACCTTCTGCCAAGCAAAATCCAAGGGGAAGCCAGATTTCACTTAACGACCGTGTCACTCCCTAACCATCGCTTAACCATTGGGGCAAGAAAGGTCATTAAATGGGACCAAAATTCACTTAACAAATGTCTCTTCGCAATTTTAAATTCCGGGCTCAGTTGGGGTCCATCCGTCAAGGGCTGTCCTAATTTAACCGCAGCGATTCACTTAACGACGGTGGGAAGAAAGGTCGTAAAGTGGGGCAAACCTCACTCCACCGACGTCTCACCGAGCAGCGGAAATGTGGGTTTCAATTGTGGCCGTTTTAATTTTTATTTTTCAGGAATTTTATTTTTAATTTTATTTTTCACGAGTTTCACGAATGAAGGCGAATAGATTTTTTTTAAAAAAAATTTGCTTTATTGCCTTGGCTGCATTATTATTTATTTAAAATAAAAAAAACATGTTTATTCAGCATACACACACACACAGAGCGATTATCAAGTTTTTAAAAAGAAGGCACTATAGACTTGTTAGCCAAGCATTTTTGGGGTGGGTCAGCGGTAAAAATTTCCCCGTCAGGTGAAACTCTCATTGGAGCAGGATTCCAACCATACCTGAATTTGGATTTTCTTTCTGTTGTTGTTCTTTTTGCGGGGTGGGTGAGGGAGGATATCCAAAAGTGGAAAGTTATATCTTCAAGGGGGGAAAAGGGGTTAGTTTTAGGGTTTTTTAAACGTTTAAAACGAAATGTTTAAATGGGACGGCTGCCATGTCGCCTCTTAAGAAAAACGGTCGCTTTTCAAAAAGTGCCTTCAGTTTAAACGTAGGCATGAAAAACCGGAGCAGAATGTTCGTTGTCCTTAACCCCAATACATCAGGGCATTATTTGAAACTAGATTATTCAGCAGCGTACAAATGTTGAACCAAGAGGGATCAATGTTCTTCCCCTGAAAATGGGCTTTGGGTCTTGGCCTGGAAGCCCCGAAGCTTTGAGTCCGCCAGAATTGCAACAAGGAGGAAAGGCAGAGAGATCCTTGTTGGATCAAGCCAGGTGGCTGTGTCCGGCCACGTGTACGTGGCAGAAGACGTGGTTGGCGAGGGCTTTTTTCCGGCATGGGTGACCGCTCCTGGTGACCCCTTGGCAGAAAGGCCTAGGAGAAGCTGAGCAGCTGGACCTGCGGTGGAGAAAATGGGACGTGAGAATCGCACCTGGGTATCTGCTCAGGAATTAAGCAACCATTAGCTTGATTTCTCAAAGTCTTCCCAAAGTCACCCAGCTGCCTTTCATGCCTAAGGCGAAACTAGAACTCCCTATCTCCTGGTGATTGGCCCAAAGTCACCCAGCTGGCTTCTGTGACTAAGGCAGAACTAGAATTCCCAGTCTCCTGGTGATTGGCCCAAAGTCACCCAGCTGGCTTCTGTGACTAAGGTGAAACTAGAACTCCCAGTCTCCTGGTGATTGGCCCAAATTCACCCTGCTGGCTTCTGTGACTAAGGTGAAACTAGAACTCCAAGTCTCCTGGTGATTGGCCCAAAGTCACCCAGCTGGCTTCTGTGACTAAGGCAGAACTAGAATTCCCAGTCTCCTGGTGATTGACCCAAAGTCACCCAGCTGGCTTCTGTGACTAAGGTGAAACTAGAACTCCAAGTCTCCGGGTGATAGGACCAAAGTCACCCAGCTGGCTTCCGTGGCTAAGGCAGAACTAGAATTCCCAGTCTCTGGGTGATTGGCCCAAAGTCACCCAGCTGGCTTCCATGGCTAAGGCAGAACTAGAATTCCCAGTCTCCGGGTGATTGGCTCAAAGTCAGCCAGCTGGCTTCTGTGAAAGACAGAACTAGAATTCCCAGTCTCCGGGTGATTGGCCCAAAGTCACCCAGCTGGCTTCCGTGGCTAAGGCAGAACTAGAATTCCCAGTCTCCGGGTGATAGGACCAAAGTCACCCAGCTGGCTTCCGTGGCTAAGGCAGAACTAGAATTC